AATGCGCTTTACACAATTGATGTGTGTATGGATTGGGATAACAGTTGTATGAGCCCCTAATAAAATGTTTAAAAAAAAATCTATTTTGGTGGGACTTGATAATGATGTGTATTCAGAATTCGCTGAGCGCAATGTTCTATAAATACCAGGCCTTTGAAAAGTCCGCTGAGTACACCGGCCTGTGTGGTCCAAGGATTGTAAGTGATAAAATCCAAATCCGGAGGAGGAAGTGGTATCATAGTTTAAATTATGAGCACCTGGTTTGCAGAAGACGATGATAACACTGGCAGCTCAAAAGCCATGTGCAAGGTCTGCACAGGGCTTTAGCCTCTGGGGAATCCTCTCTGACCACAGTCCGCGGAGGTGAAGAGTCTTGCTGTCAAACAGAGGGCCTTGTACCGCCAATTATGGCAGATGCAGTCAGGTTAATGTCCCCTTCGACCCATTTTAAAGTTGTTTGTCTTTAGTATCTTCCTTTTTAAAAATTTTGTCATTGTGGTCTGCTTCCTGTTTGTTTTGTATGATTCTCTGCATATGAAACTCCAGGATAGGTACATCTATGAGACAGGAACTGGACTGATAATTACCTAGGGGCAGGGGAGGTTGGAGGGAAACGGGGAGGGAACAACCTGGGAGAAGAAAATGTTCAGAAATGGGCTGCTGCGATGATGGCACAACTCTTCTCAATATGACTGAACAATCACATTGTATGAGATGTTAAGTATTTGCCAATAAAATTATTTTAAAAAACACCAAACTTTCAGTGAAAAATAGAATGAAAAGAGTGGAATTTCCCCACAAACCTTTTATTTTAAACCATTTTATCAAAGGCTCTTATAGCTCTTATCACATTCCATACATCAATTATATCTAGCATATTGGCACATAGGTTGCCATCATCATTTTCTAAAATTTACTTTCTATTTGAGCCCTTGACATCAGCTCCTCTCTTTTCCCCTCCCTCCCCACAAACTATACATGTAGACCATGCCAGATAACTGACACGGGAACCCAGTTACTACATCTACGGAGTGAAATGACGGAGCAGCTCAATGTCATCAGCCAAGACAAAGCCAAGGCCAACGGTGCAACAGATCTCAGTCACTTATGAGAAACTTCAAACTGAAGCTGAAGAAAATCAAAGGCAATCCACACGAGCCAACAGATGACCTTCCAGAGTTGGAAAACATCACAAGAGTCAATCCGAATCATAGTG